CCTCTCTCTGCTCTCTCCTCTCTGCTCTCCTCTCTCTGCTCTCTCCTCTCTGCTCTCCTCTCTCTGCTCTCTCCTCTCTGCTCTCCTCTCTCTGCTCTCTCCTCTCTGCTCTCCTCTCTCTGCTCTCTCCTCTCTGCTCTCCTCTCTCTGCTCTCTCCTCTCTGCTCTCCTCTCTCTGCTCTCTCCTCTCTGCTCTCCTCTCTCTGCTCTCTCCTCTCTGCTCTCCTCTCTCTGCTCTCTCCTCTCTGCTCTCCTCTCTCTGCTCTCTGCTCTCCTCTCTCTGCTCTCTGCTCTCCTCTCTCTGCTCTCTGCTCTCCTCTCTCTGCTCTCTGCTCTCCTCTCTCTGCTCTCTGCTCTCCTCTCTCTGCTCTCTGCTCTCCTCTCTCTGCTCTCTGCTCTCCTCTCTCTGCTCTCTGCTCTCCTCTCTCTGCTCTCTGCTCTCCTCTCTCTGCTCTCTGCTCTCCTCTCTCTGCTCTCTGCTCTCCTCTCTCTGCTCTCTGCTCTCCTCTCTCTGCTCTCTGCTCTCCTCTCTCTGCTCTCTGCTCTCCTCTCTCTGCTCTCTGCTCTCCTCTCTCTGCTCTCTGCTCTCCTCTCTCTGCTCTCTGCTCTCCTCTCTCTGCTCTCTGCTCTCCTCTCTCTGCTCTCTGCTCTCCTCTCTCTGCTCTCTGCTCTCCTCTCTCTGCTCTCTGCTCTCCTCTCTCTGCTCTCTGCTCTCCTCTCTCTGCTCTCTGCTCTCCTCTCTCTGCTCTCTGCTCTCCTCTCTCTGCTCTCTGCTCTCCTCTCTCTGCTCTCTGCTCTCCTCTCTCTGCTCTCTGCTCTCCTCTCTCTGCTCTCTGCTCTCCTCTCTCTGCTCTCTGCTCTCCTCTCTCTGCTCTCTGCTCTCCTCTCTCTGCTCTCTGCTCTCCTCTCTCTGCTCTCTGCTCTCCTCTCTCTGCTCTCTGCTCTCCTCTCTCTGCTCTCTGCTCTCCTCTCTCTGCTCTCTGCTCTCCTCTCTCTGCTCTCTGCTCTCCTCTCTCTGCTCTCTGCTCTCCTCTCTCTGCTCTCTGCTCTCCTCTCTCTGCTCTCTGCTCTCCTCTCTCTGCTCTCTGCTCTCCTCTCTCTGCTCTCTGCTCTCCTCTCTCTGCTCTCTGCTCTCCTCTCTCTGCTCTCTGCTCTCCTCTCTCTGCTCTCTGCTCTCCTCTCTCTGCTCTCTGCTCTCCTCTCTCTGCTCTCTGCTCTCCTCTCTCTGCTCTCTGCTCTCCTCTCTCTGCTCTCTGCTCTCCTCTCTCTGCTCTCTGCTCTCCTCTCTCTGCTCTCTGCTCTCCTCTCTCTGCTCTCTGCTCTCCTCTCTCTGCTCTCTGCTCTCCTCTCTCTGCTCTCTGCTCTCCTCTCTCTGCTCTCTGCTCTCCTCTCTCTGCTCTCTGCTCTCCTCTCTCTGCTCTCTGCTCTCCTCTCTCTGCTCTCTGCTCTCCTCTCTCTGCTCTCTGCTCTCCTCTCTCTGCTCTCTGCTCTCCTCTCTCTGCTCTCTGCTCTCCTCTCTCTGCTCTCTGCTCTCCTCTCTCTGCTCTCTGCTCTCCTCTCTCTGCTCTCTGCTCTCCTCTCTCTGCTCTCTGCTCTCCTCTCTCTGCTCTCTGCTCTCCTCTCTCTGCTCTCTCCTCTCTGCTCTCCTCTCTCTTGCTCTCTCCTCTCTGCTCTCCTCTCTCTGCTCTCTCCTCTCTGCTCTCCTCTCTCTGCTCTCTCCTCTCTGCTCTCCTCTCTCTGCTCTCTCCTCTCTGCTCTCCTCTCTCTGCTCTCTCCTCTCTGCTCTCCTCTCTCTGCTCTCTCCTCTCTGCTCTCCTCTCTCTGCTCTCTCCTCTCTGCTCTCCTCTCTCTGCTCTCTCCTCTCTGCTCTCCTCTCTCTGCTCTCTCCTCTCTGCTCTCCTCTCTCTGCTCTCTCCTCTCTGCTCTCCTCTCTCTGCTCTCTCCTCTCTGCTCTCCTCTCTCTGCTCTCTCCTCTCTGCTCTCCTCTCTCTGCTCTCTCCTCTCTGCTCTCCTCTCTCTGCTCTCCTCTCTGCTCTCCTCTCTCTGCTCTCTCCTCTCTGCTCTCCTCTCTCTGCTCTCTCCTCTCTGCTCTCCTCTCTCTGCTCTCTCCTCTCTGCTCTCCTCTCTCTGCTCTCCTCTCTCTCCTCTCTCTGCTCTCTGCTCTCCTCTCTCTGCTCTCTCCTCTCTGCTCTCCTCTCTCTGCTCTCCTCTCTCTGCTCTCTCCTCTCTGCTCTCCTCTCTCTGCTCTCCTCTCTCTGCTCTCCTCTCTCTGCTCTCTGCTCTCCTCTCTCTGCTCTCCTCTCTCTGCTCTCTGCTCTCTGCTCTCTGCTCTCTGCTCTCTGCTCTCTGCTCTCTGCTCTCTGCTCTCTGCTCTCTGCTCTCTGCTCTCTGCTCTCTGCTCTCTGCTCTCTGCTCTCTGCTCTCTGCTCTCTGCTCTCTGCTCTCTGCTCTCTGCTCTCTGCTCTCTGCTCTCTGCTCTCTGCTCTCTGCTCTCTGCTCTCTGCTCTCTGCTCTCTGCTCTCTGCTCTCTGCTCTCTGCTCTCTGCTCTCTGCTCTCTGCTCTCTGCTCTCTGCTCTCTGCTCTCTGCTCTCTGCTCTCTGCTCTCTGCTCTCTGCTCTCTGCTCTCTGCTCTCTGCTCTCTGCTCTCTGCTCTCTGCTCTCTGCTCTCTGCTCTCTGCTCTCTGCTCTCTGCTCTCTGCTCTCTGCTCTCTGCTCTCTGCTCTCTGCTCTCTGCTCTCTGCTCTCTGCTCTCTGCTCTCTGCTCTCTGCTCTCTGCTCTCTGCTCTCTGCTCTCTGCTCTCTGCTCTCCTCTCTCTGCTCTCTGCTCTCTGCTCTCTGCTCTCCTCTCTCTGCTCTCTGCTCTCTGCTCTCTGCTCTCCTCTCTCCATTCTCCTCTCTCCTCTCTCCTCTCTCCTCTCCCCTCTCTCCTCCATCCTCTCTCTGCTCTTTGCTCTCTGCTCTCCTCTCTCCTCTCTCCTCTCTCCTCTCCTCTCTCCTCTCTCCTCTCTCCTCTCTCCTCTCTCCTGTCCTCTCTCCTCTCTCCTCTCCTCTCTCCTCTCTCCTCTCTCTTCTCTCTGCTCTCTGCTCTCCCCTACTTCATGACTCTGTTTCCATTTCTTCTCCCCGTCCTCCTGCCCCCTCCATCCCCCCCCTCCCTCCCTGTCCTGATTCATCCATCAGGTGGTCGAGCATGTCACCAATGATATGAGTTCGCTCCTCTCTCCCAACTCTGCTGTGACGTTTGTCCCTCTGTTCTCTCTGCTTTCCCAATCTTTCCTCCCTATCAACCCCTCTGCTCCTCGCTTTCCCGGCCTCCCATCAGGTGGTCGAGCATTTCACCAATGATATGAGCTCTCTCCTCACTGGCGTCCAATCACTGCACACCACGTCAGCCTACTCCTCCGTTGACCTCTCCCCACTCTTCCGCGCCCTCGCGTCAGAGTCGCAGCGCTCAGCTGATCGTGGCCGTTCATTGCGCCTGGTAAGATCCTTACTATTACTGCCTTACATAAATCTGTTTTTTTTTTTTTTTTGCTGTGTTTTGATGCGCCTCAGAACTTGCAAAGACCCTCTTTTCCTCCCCGCCCTCCAGATTCTTTTCTTCTGCCGTTCTTCTTGCATCCCCAGTCCACGCCCCACCACGCCCCACGCCGCGCCGTCCCTTTCACTGCCGACTGTCCCAACAATTTCAACTGCATTCACAATTCCTCCCCTTCCCTCTCCCTACCCTCCAGATTCTCTTCTTCTGCCGGTCCTCTTGCATCCCCGGCCCTCCTCCTAACCGCGCCCCTCACCCCGCCGTCCCATTCACTGCCTTCTGCATCTACTGCATTGGCACGTCGTGTACCAAAAAATATATTTTTTCCTCTACCCTCCGCGCGCCCCCTCGCCCCTCTCCATTTCACCCTCCAGATTCTTTTCTACTGCCGCTCCTCGTGCATTCCCGGCCCACCTCCCAACCGCGCCCCTCGCCCTGCCGTCCCCTTCACTGCCGACTGCATCTACTGGCACGACCGCCCCAACACATGGAATCATGTTTACTTCCCGGCTCCCCCCTTTCCATCCACTTCCTGTCCCTCTTCCCACCTTCCAGATTCTTTTCTACTGCCGCTCCTCGTGCATTCCCGGCCCACCTCCCAACCGCGCCCCTCGCCCCGCCATCCCCTTCACTGCCGACTGTATCTACTGGCACGACCGGCCCAACAATTTCAACTGCCCGCAAGAAGTTTTCGACGGGCTGACCGCTGCCCTGGAAGCAGTTTCCGTGCCCGAGCCATACATCTGGGAGAACAGCAGCAATTCTGCAAGGTACATCTTCCGAGCGACATCCTCGTTATTAGCACACCCAGCACAGCGAATAGCTGACGACTACCTATCCATGCCCAGGGCTTTGGATTCAGGGCCCAGAAACGCCTCACCAGGAGAGGACTCTGTTTCAGGTGTACCTGGTGCAGGTGCATCTGGGGCAGGTTTAACTGGTTCAGGGGCACCTAACACAGGGTATTACTCTGGAGGTGCGGGTGGGTTGGAAGCGGTTTATGATGGCAATGGGGGAGAGAAGGGTGAGAGGGGTGAGAGGGGAGGGAAAAGAGAGAAAGGGGAGAAATCTGGAGGCTCGTTATGGAGCCGGCTCGGACAGGGGAAGAAAGATGCTCAACGTGACGCGCAGTGATGTTGGCGTTACGCCTCTGATCTGTTTTGCCTGTATATCTGTAACAAGACCCGTTTTCCTGCCAATAATATGCATCTCGAGTTAGAAATATGTGTTGAGAGGGTAACATTCCTTCAATGGTACTGTATCAGGGTGCATACACGTTTCTTTTAGAAGAATGATACATGATAGGTCAATCCCACACGTCCCATGCCATATCTTCACCCCTTCAATAGATGGTGAAGGTCCGAGGAGGGTTAAGAACCCCTTCATCCTGGGACCCACACTTCCACCTCGCACACACAATGGCTGGTCCTTGTCAGTTTCGATTCCCAAGAGGCCAACACTTTATCTCTTCCTCCTCGTCTTCTGTACCTGCTCTTCCCTCTCCACCACTCTGCACACCTCCACATCCACCCCATCGCCCTGCAGTGCCTTAAGCCAAGCAGTCTGCTGGCACGATAGCTGGTCCCTCGGCCCTTTCACCTCCACCAGTTTCACCTCCCCCAGTAGATCTCCCCTTTCCCCATTCAGCCCCTCCCCCCAATTCCCTCTTTCCCTTTTCAAAAACCCCAATAAAACCTCTCTTGGCCCATTCACCTCCCCCCAGTGATGTCCTCTCAGGGCGTTCCACTCACGAAGCTCCCTCCGAGCATTGGCGCAAAGCTGAGGTTCGGCCGAGCTTCTCCGCCAGAGCACCAGGTCAGGCATGCCGCCCCTCCAAGTATTGTAGCTTTCTGCCAGCCGCTCACAGATGGCGGCTACAGTAACGCAGCCGGCACATAGGACAATTTCTGTGAGCTCTGAGAGGCTTATGGAACGCTGGCCAGTGTTGCTGCCGCTGCTGCTGCTGCTGCTGCTGACACCAGGTGCGTTTGGGACAGTTTCTGCATCAACAGAAGGCGCTGCAGCAGCAGTAGCAATGCCAACTGTTGCAGAATCAGCAGCCACAGTAGCAGCAGCAGCAGCCACAGTAGCAGCAGCAGCAGCAGCAGCAGCAGCAGCAGCAGCAGCAGCAGCAGCAGCAGCAGCAGCAGCAGCAGCAGCAGCAGCAGCAGCAGCAGCAGCAGCAGCAGCAGCAGCAGCAGCAGCAGCAGCAGCAGCAGGAGCAGCAGCAGCAGCAGGAGCAGCAGGAGCAGCTGTCCCCTCTTCATTCAAAAGCCCCAGGCCCACACACAGAGTGCCGTGGTGCTCCTGCCATCTCTCCCTCAGCAACTTCACAGTAAACAGTGTGCCGCCCACAGCACACGCACCGAGATTAGAAGCTGCAGGACAAGCACCGAGTATGCTGCTCGCAGGAGTGCCACCCACAAGAGTGCCGTCCACAGGAGTGCCGCCCACAGGAGTGCCGTCCACAGGAGTGCCGCCCACAGGAGTGCCGTCCACAGGAGTGCCGCCCACAGGAGTGCCGCCCACAAGAGTGCCGCCCACAAGAGTGCCGCCCACAAGAGTGCCGCCCACAGGAATGCCGTCCACAGGACAAGCACCATCATCATTCATAAAACCTTCCTCATAACCACCCACTCCTCCATCTCCACCCTCATAACCACCCACTCCTCCATCTCCACCCTCATAACCACCCACTCCTCCATCTCCACCCTCTCCTACCTCTCCTCCCTCTCCCACACACTCGCCTCTGCATCGTCCCCCTAGCAGCTCCTCCAGGCGAGCTTGAATGAGAGTGCCCCGGGTGGATGCAAACTGTGGGGAACCAAAGTCCAGAGGGGCGGTCTGGGAAGAAAGGGAGGTTGGGAGAGGGGGTGAAAGGATGGAATAAAGGGCATTCTTCTGTGCACCAACCCCCTAGCAGCTCCTCCAGGCGAGTGGGAAGAGGCGGTGGGGAGATGCCCGAAGGGGAAAGGGGGAGGGGAAGAGGAAGAGTGGGGGAGAAATGGGGTGGAAGCTGAGGGGGTGGGAATGGGGTCAGAGGCACTCCTTTCTGCGTTGTCTCCCTGGCAGTTTGTTTTTGAGGCGCCTCAAAACGCACTCCATTTCTGCATTGCCCTCGGAGAAGTTCTCCCAGGCGAGTGTTTGAATGAGAGGGTGGTGGGTGGACGCAAAGAGTGGGAGGGGAGCCCAGGTACAGAGAGGCTGTCTGGAGAAGGCGGTGGGGAGACGGTGGAAGGATGGTGAAAGGCGTCACGTCAGGCACAGGGGCCATGGTGATATCCCAGAAGAGCAGTGCGAAATGCAGCAGAGGGAAGGGGCTGGCCCACGTTGACTTTTGAGTCGACTCAAAAGTCATCCCAGAAGAGCAGTGCGAAATGCAGCAGAGGGAAGAGGCTGGCCCACAAAAACCCCTCACCATGCACCCCCTGTCTCGAGGCACATAGCATAGGAGCCCGCACGCACCTGGAAGGGGTGGTGAAATGTGTCAGGCACTGGGGCGAAGATGACATCCCAAAAGAGCAGCAGAGGGAAGAGGGTGGCCCAAGGAAACCCCTCACCACGCAACCCCTGACTTGACACGTACCTTCTTCTTCTGAGAAACCAGCATGCACACACCTGGAAGGGGTGGTGAAATGCGTCGTGCACAGGCGCGAAGGTGACATCAAAGAAGAGCAGCGTGAAGATGGTCGACCACTTGCCGCTGCTGCTCTTCTGGGATGTTACCTTCATGGGGTTGACTTTTGAGTCGACTCAAAAGACGAAGCTGCTTGTGACTTTTGAGTCGACTCAAAAGACGAAGCTGCTTGTGACTTTTGAGTCGACTCAAAAGTCAACCCCATGAAGGTAACATCCCAGAAGAGCAGCAGCGTGAAGATGGTCGCCCACAGGGGCCCCTCGCACAGCAGAGGAGCCCTCGCACAGCAGAGGAGCCTTTCTGCGCTCTCTGCAACGCACAGAGAGGCCTTCTAGGCAGCAAGAAAACAGAGCACGCACCTGGAAGGGGTGGTGGAAGGCGTCAGGCACAGGGGCGAAGATGACATCCCAGAAGAGAAGCACGAACAGGGTCGACCACAGGGAGCCCTCGCAGTGCACGCCACGTCTTGCATGTTTCACACACTATTTCTGGGTATACACCACACACCTGGAAGGGATGGTGGAAGGCGTCAGGCACAGGGGCGAAGATGACATCCCAGAAGAGCAGAACGAACAGGGTCGACCACAGGGAGCCCTCGCAGTGCACGCCCCTCCACCCGCCTCCCTCCTCGCTGGCGTAGTGCTGCAATGCCAGCTCCTCTACACTGCATTGCTCGTCCCACCACGCACAGGGTGTGGCGGATGCTTCCTCGCAGTTGCCTCTAGACTCTTCCCCCGTGTGAAAGTTTTCCGAGTTGTGGGGGCCTCTGCTTGTGGCTGTAGCAGGAGGGCGTGTGACTGTAACGGGAGCCAAGCTGTAGAAGCGGCTTTTGGCGCCCACCTCACTGTTCACTGGGCGCCCCACAATGCGAACCTGAGGGGGACAAGGTGCAGAGAGGAGCGAGGTGGGAAGAGAGGAGGAGAGGACAGGTGAGGGAGGGGTGCGTGCTGTAGAAGCTTTTAGAGGAGCTTTTGGAGCAGCTTTTAGAGCAGCTGTTAGAACAGCTTTTAGAGCAGCTTTTAGAGCAGCTTTTAGAGCAGCGTTTAGAGCAGCTTTTAGAGCAGCTTTTAGAGCAGCTTTTAGAGCAGCTTTTAGAGCAGCTTTTAGAGCAGCTTTTAGAGCAGCTTTTAGAGCAGCTTTTAGAGCAGCTTTTAGAGCAGCTTTTAGAGCAGCTTTTGGAGCAGCTTTTAGAGCAGCTTTTGGAGCAGCTTTTAGAGCAGCTTTCAGAGCAGCTTTTCGAGCAGCTTTTGGAGCAGCCTTTAGAGCAGCTTTTGGAGCAGCTTTCAGAGCAGCTTTCAGAGCAGCTTTTAGAGCAGCTTTCAGAGCAGCTTTCAGAGCAGCTTTTAGAGCAGCTTTTGAAGCAGCTTTTAGAGCAGCTTTTGGAGCAGCTTTTGGAGCAGCTTTTGGAGCAGCTTTTGGAGCAGCTTTTGGAGCAGCTTTTGGAGCAGCTTTTAGAGCAGCTTTTAGAGCAGCTTTTAGAGCAGCTTTTAGAGTAGCTTTTGGAGCAGCTTTTGGAGCAGCTTATGGAGCAGCTTTTAGAGCAGCTTTTAGAGCAGCTTTTAGAGCCCACCTCGCTGTTCAGTGGACGCTCCATGATGCGCACCTGCGTGGTGACAGGAGGGGAGGAAGCAGAGGAGACAGGAGGAGGAGAGGACAGGTGAGAGGAGGGTGCATACAGAGAAGAGGTTTGGAATACCCACCTCACTGTTCAGTGGACGTCCCATGATGCGTGCCTGATGGTGGTGCGAGGTAAGGAGGCAAGGAGTCAAGGGGGCGGAGGAGAGGACAAGGGTCACTGGACAAGGGTGGAGGGGGGGAAGCGCTCAAGCTCCACTCACTCATGCTCCACTTGTCAGAACTTAAGCTTAGAACTGATATCTTAGTGATGAGCTTGAAGCTCTTTAAGTACATCCAAGAAGAGCAAGGAATGGATGGGGAAGGGAATCGGGGGCAATCCCTAGGGATTGGGGGTAATCCCAAGGCAATCTCCAATTGGTGGGTTGGAGATTGCTTGGAGATTACATTTGGGTTTGGTTGGGATGTAGGTGTACACCCAACCAAACACAAAGTGCAAACTACACTACTCTAGGATATAGAAAATATAAAGGGTGTACAAAGGGTGAGATTGAGGGCTAACACTAACACCACTCACTCATGCTCCGCTCACTCATGCTCCGCTCACTCATGCTCCGCTCACTCATGCTCCGCTCACTCATGCTCCGCTCACTCATGCTCCGCTCACTCATGCTCCGCTCACTCATGCTCCGCTCACTCATGCTCCGCTCACTCATGCTCCGCTCACTCATGCTCCGCTCACTCATGCTCCGCTCACTCATGCTCCGCTCACTCATGCTCCGCTCACTCATGCTCCGCTCACTCATGCTCCGCTCACTCATGCTCCGCTCACTCATGCTCCGCTCACTCATGCTCCGCTCACTCATGCTCCGCTCACTCATGCTCCGCTCACTCATGCTCCGCTCACTCATGCTCCGCTCACTCATGCTCCGCTCACTCATGCTCCGCTCACTCATGCTCCGCTCACTCATGCTCCGCTCACTCATGCTCCGCTCACTCATGCTCCGCTCACTCATGCTCCGCTCACTCATGCTCCGCTCACTCATGCTCCGCTCACTCATGCTCCGCTCACTCATGCTCCGCTCACTCATGCTCCGCTCACTCATGCTCCGCTCACTCATGCTCCGCTCACTCATGCTCCGCTCACTCATGCTCCGCTCACTCATGCTCCGCTCACTCATGCTCCGCTCACTCATGCTCCGCTCACTCATGCTCCGCTCACTCATGCTCCGCTCACTCATGCTCCGCTCACTCATGCTCCGCTCACTCATGCTCCGCTCACTCATGCTCCGCTCACTCATGCTCCGCTCACTCATGCTCCGCTCACTCATGCTCCGCTCACTCATGCTCCGCTCACTCATGCTCCGCTCACTCATGCTCCGCTCACTCATGCTCCGCTCACTCATGCTCCGCTCACTCATGCTCCGCTCACTCATGCTCCGCTCACTCATGCTCCGCTCACTCATGCTCCGCTCACTCATGCTCCGCTCACTCATGCTCCGCTCACTCATGCTCCGCTCACTCATGCTCCGCTCACTCATGCTCCGCTCACTCATGCTCCGCTCACTCATGCTCCGCTCACTCATGCTCCGCTCACTCATGCTCCGCTCACTCATGCTCCGCTCACTCATGCTCCGCTCACTCATGCTCCGCTCACTCATGCTCCGCTCACTCATGCTCCGCTCACTCATGCTCCGCTCACTCATGCTCCGCTCACTCATGCTCCGCTCACTCATGCTCCGCTCACTCATGCTCCGCTCACTCATGCTCCGCTCACTCATGCTCCGCTCACTCATGCTCCGCTCACTCATGCTCCGCTCACTCATGCTCCGCTCACTCATGCTCCGCTCACTCATGCTCCGCTCACTCATGCTCCGCTCACTCATGCTCCGCTCACTCATGCTCCGCTCACTCATGCTCCGCTCACTCATGCTCCGCTCACTCATGCTCCGCTCACTCATGCTCCGCTCACTCATGCTCCGCTCACTCATGCTCCGCTCACTCATGCTCCGCTCACTCATGCTCCGCTCACTCATGCTCCGCTCACTCATGCTCCGCTCACTCATGCTCCGCTCACTCATGCTCCGCTCACTCATGCTCCGCTCACTCATGCTCCGCTCACTCATGCTCCGCTCACTCATGCTCCGCTCACTCATGCTCCGCTCACTCATGCTCCGCTCACTCATGCTCCGCTCACTCATGCTCCGCTCACTCATGCTCCGCTCACTCATGCTCCGCTCACTCATGCTCCGCTCACTCATGCTCCGCTCACTCATGCTCCGCTCACTCATGCTCCGCTCACTCATGCTCCGCTCACTCATGCTCCGCTCACTCATGCTCCGCTCACTCATGCTCCGCTCACTCATGCTCCGCTCACTCATGCTCCGCTCACTCATGCTCCGCTCACTCATGCTCCGCTCACTCATGCTCCGCTCACTCATGCTCCGCTCACTCATGCTCCGCTCACTCATGCTCCGCTCACTCATGCTCCGCTCACTCATGCTCCGCTCACTCATGCTCCGCTCACTCATGCTCCGCTCACTCATGCTCCGCTCACTCATGCTCCGCTCACTCATGCTCCGCTCACTCATGCTCCGCTCACTCATGCTCCGCTCACTCATGCTCCGCTCACTCATGCTCCGCTCACTCATGCTCCGCTCACTCATGCTCCGCTCACTCATGCTCCGCTCACTCATGCTCCGCTCACTCATGCTCCGCTCACTCATGCTCCGCTCACTCATGCTCCGCTCACTCATGCTCCGCTCACTCATGCTCCGCTCACTCATGCTCCGCTCACTCATGCTCCGCTCACTCATGCTCCGCTCACTCATGCTCCGCTCACTCATGCTCCGCTCACTCATGCTCCGCTCACTCATGCTCCGCTCACTCATGCTCCGCTCACTCATGCTCCGCTCACTCATGCTCCGCTCACTCATGCTCCGCTCACTCATGCTCCGCTCACGTCATGCTCCGCTCACTCATGCTCCGCTCACTCATGCTCCGCTCACTCATGCTCCGCTCACTCATGCTCCGCTCACTCATGCTCCGCTCACTCATGCTCCGCTCACTCATGCTCCGCTCACTCATGCTCCGCTCACTCATGCTCCGCTCACTCATGCTCCGCTCACTCATGCTCCGCTCACTCATGCTCCGCTCACTCATGCTCCGCTCACTCATGCTCCGCTCACTCATGCTCCGCTCACTCATGCTCCGCTCACTCATGCTCCGCTCACTCATGCTCCGCTCACTCATGCTCCGCTCACTCATGCTCCGCTCACTCATGCTCCGCTCACTCATGCTCCGCTCACTCATGCTCCGCTCACTCATGCTCCGCTCACTCATGCTCCGCTCACTCATGCTCCGCTCACTCATGCTCCGCTCACTCATGCTCCGCTCACTCATGCTCCGCTCACTCATGCTCCGCTCACTCATGCTCCGCTCACTCATGCTCCGCTCACTCATGCTCCGCTCACTCATGCTCCGCTCACTCATGCTCCGCTCACTCATGCTCCGCTCACTCATGCTCCGCTCACTCATGCTCCGCTCACTCATGCTCCGCTCACTCATGCTCCGCTCACTCATGCTCCGCTCACTCATGCTCCGCTCACTCATGCTCCGCTCACTCATGCTCCGCTCACTCATGCTCCGCTCACTCATGCTCCGCTCACTCATGCTCCGCTCACTCATGCTCCGCTCACTCATGCTCCGCTCACTCATGCTCCGCTCACTCATGCTCCGCTCACTCATGCTCCGCTCACTCATGCTCCGCTCACTCATGCTCCGCTCACTCATGCTCCGCTCACTCATGCTCCGCTCACTCATGCTCCGCTCACTCATGCTCCGCTCACTCATGCTCCGCTCACTCATGCTCCGCTCACTCATGCTCCGCTCACTCATGCTCCGCTCACTCATGCTCCGCTCACTCATGCTCCGCTCACTCATGCTCCGCTCACTCATGCTCCGCTCACTCATGCTCCGCTCACTCATGCTCCGCTCACTCATGCTCCGCTCACTCATGCTCCGCTCACTCATGCTCCGCTCACTCATGCTCCGCTCACTCATGCTCCGCTCACTCATGCTCCGCTCACTCATGCTCCGCTCACTCATGCTCCGCTCACTCATGCTCCGCTCACTCATGCTCCGCTCACTCATGCTCCGCTCACTCATGCTCCGCTCACTCATGCTCCGCTCACTCATGCTCCGCTCACTCATGCTCCGCTCACTCATGCTCCGCTCACTCATGCTCCGCTCACTCATGCTCCGCTCACTCATGCTCCGCTCACTCATGCTCCGCTCACTCATGCTCCGCTCACTCATGCTCCGCTCACTCATGCTCCGCTCACTCATGCTCCGCTCACTCATGCTCCGCTCACTCATGCTCCGCTCACTCATGCTCCGCTCACTCATGCTCCGCTCACTCATGCTCCGCTCACTCATGCTCCGCTCACTCATGCTCCGCTCACTCATGCTCCGCTCACTCATGCTCCGCTCACTCATGCTCCGCTCACTCATGCTCCGCTCACTCATGCTCCGCTCACTCATGCTCCGCTCACTCATGCTCCGCTCACTCATGCTCCGCTCACTCATGCTCCGCTCACTCATGCTCCGGCTCACTCATGCTCCGCTCACTCATGCTCCGCTCACTCATGCTCCGCTCACTCATGCTCCGCTCACTCATGCTCCGCTCACTCATGCTCCGCTCACTCATGCTCCGCTCACTCATGCTCCGCTCACTCATGCTCCGCTCACTCATGCTCCGCTCACTCATGCTCCGCTCACTCATGCTCCGCTCACTCATGCTCCGCTCACTCATGCTCCGCTCACTCATGCTCCGCTCACTCATGCTCCGCTCACTCATGCTCCGCTCACTCATGCTCCGCTCACTCATGCTCCGCTCACTCATGCTCCGCTCACTCATGCTCCGCTCACTCATGCTCCGCTCACTCATGCTCCGCTCACTCATGCTCCGCTCACTCATGCTCCGCTCACTCATGCTCCGCTCACTCATGCTCCGCTCACTCATGCTCCGCTCACTCATGCTCCGCTCACTCATGCTCCGCTCACTCATGCTCCGCTCACTCATGCTCCGCTCACTCATGCTCCGCTCACTCATGCTCCGCTCACTCATGCTCCGCTCACTCATGCTCCGCTCACTCATGCTCCGCTCACTCATGCTCCGCTCACTCATGCTCCGCTCACTCATGCTCCGCTCACTCATGCTCCGCTCACTCATGCTCCGCTCACTCATGCTCCGCTCACTCATGCTCCGCTCACTCATGCTCCGCTCACTCATGCTCCGCTCACTCATGCTCCGCTCACTCATGCTCCGCTCACTCATGCTCCGCTCACTCATGCTCCGCTCACTCATGCTCCGCTCACTCATGCTCCGCTCACTCATGCTCCGCTCACTCATGCTCCGCTCACTCATGCTCCGCTCACTCATGCTCCGCTCACCTCATGCTCCGCTCACTCATGCTCCGCTCACTCATGGCTCCGCTCACTCATGCTCCGCTCACTCATGCTCCGCTCACTCATGCTCCGCTCACTCATGCTCCGCTCACTCATGCTCCGCTCACTCATGCTCCGCTCACTCATGCTCCGCTCACTCATGCTCCGCTCACTCATGCTCCGCTCACTCATGCTCCGCTCACGTCATGCTCCGCTCACTCATGCTCCGCTCACTCATGCTCCGCTCACTCATGCTCCGCTCACTCATGCTCCGCTCACTCATGCTCCGCTCACTCATGCTCCGCTCACTCATGCTCCGCTCACTCATGCTCCGCTCACTCATGCTCCGCTCACTCATGCTCCGCTCACTCATGCTCCGCTCACTCATGCTCCGCTCACTCATGCTCCGCTCACTCATGCTCCGCTCACTCATGCTCCGCTCACTCATGCTCCGCTCACTCATGCTCCGCTCACTCATGCTCCGCTCACTCATGCTCCGCTCACATCATGCTCCGCTCACTCATGCTCCGTCTCACTCATGCTCCGCTCACTCATGCTCCGCTCACTCATGCTCCGCTCACTCACTGCTCCGCTCACTCATGCTCCGCTCACTCATGCTCCCGCTCACTCATGCTCCGCTTCACTCATGCTCCGCTCACTCATGCTCCGCTCACTCATGCTCCGCTCACTCATGCTCCGCTCACTCATGCTCCGCTCACTCATGCTTCCGCTCACTCATGCTCCGCTCACTCATGCTCCGCCTCACTCATGCTCCGCTCACTCATGCTCCGCTCACTCATGCTCCGCTCACTCATGCTCCGCTCACTCATGCTCCGCTCACTCATGCTCCGCTCACTCATGCTCCGCTCACTCATGCTCCGCTCACTCATGCTCCGCTCACTCATGCTCCGCTCACTCATGCTCCGCTCACTCATGCTCCGCTCACTCATGTCCGTCCTCATGCTCCGCTCACTCATGCTCCGCTCACTCCGCTCACTCATGCTCCGCTCACTCATGCTCCGCTCACTCATGCTCCGCTCACTCATGCTCCGCTCACTCATGCTCCGCTCACTCATGCTCCGCTCACTCATGCTCCGCTCACTCATGCTCCGCTCACTCATGCTCCGCTCACTCATGCTCCGCTCACTCATGCTCCGCTCACTCATGCTCCGCTCACTCATGCTCCGCTCACTCATGCTCCGCTCACTCATGCTCCGCTCACTCATGCTCCGCTCACTCATGCTCCGCTCACTCATGCTCCGCTCACTCATGCTCCGCTCACTCATGCTCCGCTCACTCATGCTCCGCTCACTCATGCTCCGCTCACTCATGCTCCGCTCACTCATGCTCCGCTCACTCATGCTCCGCTCACTCATGCTCCGCTCACTCATGCTCCGCTCACTCATGCTCCGCTCACTCATGCTCCGCTCACTCATGCTCCGCTCACTCATGCTCCGCTCACCTCCTTGCATCGCCATGCCACCGACCACACATAGCTCGGCCGCTTCCAACTGATTGGCGGCTTTGCCAGCCGCACCACGCGCCGCTGCAGCGCCAGCAAATCCCCTGCTGCCACGTGTCTGTCCCCAGTGCATTCTGCAACTCCCGTCCTAGCAGCCTCTAAGCTCTCCTTTACGAGACCCAGGTGGTGCAGGTCGGTGGAGAGGCGGGGGAAGAAGGTGCCTAGGCGGGCCCTGGGGGCAAAGGGCGAGGCGACTAGCAGCCTCAGATCTGATACTGCCTGGTTGTACCTGGAGTGGGGGGAAGGGTGGAATGGGGTGGGGTTGGTTGCGATGGGTTGGGGTGCAGTGGGGTGGTGGCAAGGCGGGCCCTGGGGGCGAAGGGCGAGGAGACAAGCAGCCTCAGATCTGATACTGCCTGGTTGTACCTGGAGTGGGGGGGGAGGGGAGAGGGTAGGGCGGGGTGGGGCCGAGACAGACAGACGAGTAGCCTTGTGACTTAATCGAATCGTGGCCAAAGGACTCTAGAAGCCAAGGTCCACAACTTAAGGCCCGGGAACCGCCTGAAATGCTGCATCCAAAAGTGCGAGTTGCCCCTTATTCTTTTCCAGCCACCCCACGCCTCCCCACAGCGCCTCCCCACAGCACCTCCCCGTACACGCGCTGCGCTTTGAACTGACAGCTGCACACTGCTGCTCTCTTCTTCCACATACCCTCATAATAAATGTTTTTTGTGACGTCTCAAGAAAGGCTTACCGCTTCTGCTTCTCCAGCCACCCCACGCCTCGCCACAGCACCTCCGCGTACAGCCAAGTCGACACCACAAAGCTATGTAAATTTTACTTTTGAGAATTCTCAAAAGTAAAATCCGTGTACATCCAAGTCGACACCACAAAGCTCAAGCGATTGTTATATGAGAAGTAAGGGAGAGGCTTACCTCTTTGCTCTTTTCAAGAAAAGCTTACCGCTTCTGCTTCTCCAGCCACCCTACGCCTCGCCACAGCACCTCCGCGTACACGCGCTGCGCCTTGAACCGATCCCTCCACGACTGCAGAACCTCTGATTTTGCATTGAAGCAAGAGACTACATCAGGTATATCGTCCTCAGATGAACCTTCCCCATGTAAGTTTCCATTTCCCCCCTGCTGGTCTCTTCCTTGCAACGTGCGGTCAGAGTGGGGCTGAAGCTGCTGCCTCGCTCCTGCCAGTGCTGCCATCAACATCAACTCATCCACATCCTCCTCCTCTTTTTCTACTTCCTCCTCTTCCTCGTCCACTTCCTCGTCCTCTTCCTCGTCCTCCTCCTCCTGTTCCCTCCCCTCTGCCTGCAGATCGTCCCCCTCTGCTACCCCCTCCTCGTCTCCTTCTTCCTCTACTGCCTCCCTCCGCTCCTCCTCCTCTTCCCTCACCCATTCCTCGTCACATAGAGCAGCTCTTGACACGCCACAGTATCTATCAGTCTCCTCAGATAAACGTGCCTTCTTACCACCACCCCGCTCCACCTCCCCTTCCATCCTCCCTCCTCCCACATCTTGCACTGCTTTCCGCTTCTCACCCGCACCGCTCCCATTCCCAATTCCACTCCTCCCTCCACCTCCACTCCCTCTCCCACTTCCTCTCCCCCTCCCCCCTCCCTCCCACTCTGTTGCTCCCTGCCCCCCCTGCCCCTCGCCCGTCTCCTTCCTCCCATGAATCCACCCCAACAATCCTTTCCACCGTTTCCAACACCTCACACGCCTGCATCCGTACACAAATACACAGAGCAGCACCAGGGGGGACGTAGCAGGGGGAGGGGAAAGCGCCAGGAGGAAAGCACCAGAGGGGAGGGAGTAGTGGGGAAAACAGCAGATATATTTCAGGCGCCCTGAAACACCCATATCATTGTTCCCTCTGCCATTCTTCCCATCCCATCCCCCGAACGGACTGCACTAACCTGCTCATATGCTAAAAGCTCCTCTCGAGAGGTCAAGACCGGTGCAGAGCGGTGGCAGCGGTAGGAGGGGTAGCGACGTAAGCCAAAGTCGACCAGCAGAAAGGTGGAGAGGGATTGGGAGGAGTTGAGGAAGAAGAGACGCTGGGAGGGGGGAGGGGAAGCAGGGGGGTATTTGGGTGAGAGGATAGGAGGTGTGAACAGGAAGGGATGGGTCATGTCATAAGGCCCACAGGTAGAACGGTGGTGAGGGATTGGGAGGAGTTGAGGAGGAAGAGCCGCTGGGGGGGGGGGAACAGAAGGGGACAAACGAGTAGTATGACGCAAGGGGTGAGAGAATAAGGCCGAATAGCAACGGAAGGGGTGAGAGAATAAGGCCGAATAGCAACGGAAGGGGTGAGAGAATAAGGCCGAATAGCAACGGAAGGGGTGAGAGAATAAGGCCAAATAGCAACGGAAGCTTCATGAAGGCACGTTTTGAGGCGCCTCAAAACTAGAAGGGGACGAACGAGTAGTATGACGCAAGGGGTGAGAGAAAAAGGCCGAATAGCAACGGAAGCTTCGTAAAGGCACGGGCAAAAATATGTTGAGGGACGAGGGGATTGATTGGAGTCAAGGAGCATAAGACATATCTTAAGTGCTGCTTTTAACAAACGCTTTGGTAAACACAAGTTTTTCATAGCCCTGTTGGAAGGATTACCCACCTGCACTCGGGCAAGAAGGCGGGTGATGCGAGGGGAGATGCGGAGGCAGGGACTCCAAAAGCAGGGACGTGGAGGCAAAGACGCGGAGGGTGTCTGAGGTGCGTCCAAAGCATTGCTCTCCCCCTATCTAGGCTTGGTTACATGCATGTCAGTTACGAAAATACGTGAAAGGAAGGACTAACTACCTGCACTCGGGCAAGAAGGCGGGTGATGCAAGGGGAGATGCGGAGGCAGGGACCAGAGAGGGCGTTTGAGGTGCGTCAAAATCATTGCTCCCCGCCTATCTAGGCTTGGTTAGATGCATGTCAGTTATGAGAATACGTGAAAGGAAGGACTAACTACCTGCACTCGGGCAAGAAGGCGGGTGATGCAAGGGGAGATGCGGAGGCAGGGACCAGAGAGAGCGAGGATGGCCCGTGAGAGCTTGTGCCTGGAAGGGGAGGGGAAGTTGAGGCGAAAAGGGGTGGTGGTTGAGGGGTTGGGTTTGAGGGATGGGGGATGGGAGGTGGAGAAGGCTGGCACCAGCAGGGGAGGGCGAGAAGGGGCGAGAAGGGGCGAGAAGGGGCGAGAAGGGGCGAGAAGGGGCAAGAAGGGGGGATAAGAGGTAACTTTTGCGTTCAGGTGACTTTTGCGTTCAGGTGACTTTTGCGTTCAGGTGACTTTTGCGTTCAGGTGACTTTTGCGTTCAGGTGACTTTTGCGTTCCGGTGACTTTTGCGTTCCGGATAAGATGACTTTTGCGTTCACTCAAGATGACTTTTGCGTTCAGGTGACTTTTGAGTCGACTCAAAAGTCACCTGGGCGAGAAGGGGGGATAAGAGGTGACTTTTGAGTTCCGGACATGGCTCAGTGAGCTGCGTGCGTGCACTCAAGATGACTTTTGCGTTCCGGACATGGCTCAGTGAGCTGCGTGCGTGCACTCAAGATGACTTTTGAGTCCACTCAAGATGACTTTTGAGTCCACTCAAGATGACTTTTGAGTCCACTCAAGATGACTTTTGAGTCCACTCGAGATGACTTTTGAGTCCACTCAAGATGACTTTTGAGTCGACTCAAAAGAGTGCGGGGGTCGGTACAATTACACGTGGAATGAGGAAGGTCCGTACTGACCCTTGAATTTTTAGGCGCCTCAAAAATCACCAGCAGGGGAGGGAGAGGAGGGGGGATACGAGGGCGGGCGGGGTAGGTACAACTGCTCTGCACATGGAATGGGGAAGGGGCAGTTGTACTGACCCCGCCCGCCCTCTTATCCCCCCTCCTCTCCCCGCCCCCTGCTCCGCACGTGGAATGGAGAAGGGGCAGCTGTACTGACCCCGCCCTATTATCCCCCCTCGTGGAATGGGGGAGAGGAATTTTGAAAAAGGGAGAGGGGGAAGAGGAGAGGGTGGGAGGAACAAGGGAATGAGCAGGAGTTAAGAGAAAAATTTATGATTCGACTCAACAGGGTGGTGGGGCTGTTCGCACCTGAGCGTGTTGGTGCAGTGTGAGGCTGACGTGGTGTGCTGTGATTGGTTGCTGCTGCTGTTGCTGGTAAGAGCTTGCACTAGGAGTCTGACAAGAGCCTCCTTTCTTCTTGAACGGATGACTGCCTTTTCCTGGTGCAGGGGAGGGAGGTGTGCGTGTGGATACAGAAAGACTGATTCTGGGTTGACTCAGAAACCAAAGGTCAGCTTGCTGTCTGTAAGGGCTTGCACTTTAAGTCTCACAAGGGCCTCGTTCTAGCTTGAACGAATGACTGCCTTTTTTGAGACGTCTCAAAACTACTTGTAATAATAGTAGTTTTGAGATGTCTCAAAACTACTTGTAATAATAGTAGTTTTGAGATGTCTCAAAACTGACAAGGGCCTCGTTCTAGCTTGAACGAATGACTGCCTTTTCTTTCTGCTGAAAGGGACGGGCTGTTTGCATGGAAACATGAAGACGAAAGGAAGTAACAATGTTTATGAGGTTGCTTATACTCACAATGCAAGCGCAGTCACAGAATACAGAGTCACAGTGTACGCAGTCACTGCAGGCATGGTCACGGACGGACCTGGAGGTTGAACGATAGTGCGAGGGAGCGCAGGTGGTGCAAGGGCAGCAGGCGGTGAGTCACTGCCACTGCAGCCTCCAGGGAGAGCAGCTTGTTTCCAGGAGCACTCACGGCTGTGCCTGTTGCACCCAGTGCAGTGCTGTCACTCTGAGACCTTCCGCTGCTTCTCACAAACCTCGCACCACTTGAACACACAAGAAGAGAGCAGCCTAGCACACCCGGAGAGTGAAAGGACCCACCTGAGGAGGAGAGCGAAACGGACCTGGAGGTTGAAGGAGAGAGCGAGGGAGTGCAGGTGGCGCAAGGGCAGCAGGCGGTGAGTCACTGCCACTGCTGCCTCCAGCGACAGTATGGCTCCTCCGGTTAGAGAATCAGGGCTGGTGGAGCTGGAGTGAGTGAAGCCATTCGTGTAATTCAGGGGTTCCTCTGCTGCTGCTGCTGCTGTTGCTGCTTCTGCCTCGTGCAACAGCATGGCTCCTCCGGGAATAGAATCAGGGCTCGAATGAGGTTCTCTGTGGTTGTACGAGGGTGTGACTGTAAGGAGCGCTGCATCTGACTCTCTCAAAGACGGAGACGGCGGTTCCTCTTCCAGCCCAGACTCGCACCATTCCAGTGCTGGAAAAACAGAGCGAGCGATCAAGAGAGAGGGTTAGAGACAGAGGGTTAGAGAGAGTGCAGGTGGTGTGAAGGAAAACGACTCTAAGAGGGTGGTTGGGTGATTGGGGTGCATGATGGTAGCGAATATGCAACAAACACCAAACATGCAGAAAGCTTAGATCTTGTAGCAACGGACCGTAAAGGGACTGCACAGCCAAGTGAAGAAGAGCACCAGCTGCCGGAGCTTCTCTCTCCTCCGCTGCTGCTGCCGCCTCTGCTTCTGTTGTTGCTGCTCTTACTGCTGTTGCTACCGTCACTTCCGTTCCTGTGCCGATGGCATCTCCTGCTGCTACTGCTGCTCCCAATGTTTCCCTCTCTCCCAACGGTGCCCGTATCAGCCCTGAATCACAGCAGGCCTTGGCGGTCGTAGCAGTAGGGTTGGAAGGAAGCTTGTATGGGGAGTCTTGAAGGTATTTGACAAGGGAGGAGAGGAGGAACCAGGGGCCTGGCAGGGTGGTGGGTGCAGGGGGGGGAAAGATTTTGACGCTCCATAATAATGCAACAGGTGGTGGGATCACCAGATGTGTTAGGCTTCTAGACCTGTATGGGGAGTCGAGAAGGTACTTGACAAGGGAGGAGAGGAGGAACCAGGGGCCTGGCAGGGTGGTGGGTGCAGGGGGAGTGGAGAAGCGGAGAAAGAGAGGTGGTAGCAGTCGCATTCAAATAAGGAACGCTCGTGAATTGTGCAAACGGTTTTAGGCAAGGGAGGAGAGGAGGAACCATGGGGGTGGAAGCGCGATGGGTGTCGATGGAAGTGGGGAAGGGGAGAACGAAAGGTAGCAGCAGTAGAGTTGCCAGACATGGGTATGGTTACCTTTTCGAAGAAATATTCGGACTAAGACATACTGAGCTGGTGGCTTGTGAGTCGACTCAAAAGTCGCCTCATTACAATGGAACCCTTGCAAATGAACAGGTTATCAGGCATGGTTATCCGTACCTTTTCGGAGAAAGATTCGGACGAAGACATACTGAGCTGGTGGAGGGAGCACCTGGAAGGCTCCTGGAAGGTGCCAGGGACGACAAGAGTAGGGACAAGAGTAGGGTCAAGGGTAGGAACGAGTCAAGGGTTGAGTTGAGGGTAGAAGTGAAGGACAACGGGTGTAGACACGATACAGTAGTAGAAGGAAAACAAGAGGTGTGTGTGTATGCGGTGCACTATGTCTGGAACGTTTGTGACAGAACGAGAGTGACTTTTGAGTCGGCTCAAAAGTCACCTAGGTGTGTATGCGGTGCACTATGTCTGGAACGTTTGTGACAGAACGAGAGTGACTTTTGAGTCGGCTCAAAGTCACCTAGGTGTGTATGCGGTGCACTATGTCTGGAACGTTTGTGACAGAACGAGAGACATGACCCCTCCATCCATCCATCCGACAATCCATGCATCCACCTACATACCCACCTACATACCCAGAACGTTTGTGAACCTCTTTTCTTTCCCTCCAGACACGTACCCAACAGCTCCCTCTCCTCGGGTATAAAAAAAAAAGGTGCCCATCTGATTCCAAAACAGTGCCCAGCATCAAGAAAAACTTCCTCACACGCGTCTTCCTCTCACCTTATCCACATACCCAGCACCGTTTTCCATCCATTGACACCCATGCCCACCGCTTTCCCTGCACACACGTACCCAACAGCTCCCTCTCCTCGGGGAGAAAGAGGTGTCCATCTGATCCCAGCACTGTGCTCAGCATAAGGCTAAAGTTCCTCACTCTCATCTCCCCTACTCCTCCCCACCCTTCATTATCCCCTCCTCCTCCACTCCCCTCCACCTCCCCTACTCCACCTCCATCTTCCCCTCCTGCATGCCGTGTCACAACACCATGCTTATCCAACACTGCTTCCTGGGTTCGCACGCGCTTTTGGACTGCTGACGTGGGATCTATGACAAACTGCCACGTGGAGAGAAATGAAGTTCTGGAAGTGGAAGGTTTGCAGGGGTCTGCTGGTTCGGTGGTTGGAGGAAGGCTGGGTGTGTCTGGAGAAGGTGTGAGGAGGAGCGGAGTGATTTCGACACGGATACGGGCGAGAGGGGAGGATGGGGTAGAGGTGATGACGCCCTGGAATAGCAGATAAATGACAAACAAACAAACAAAAAGCACGGACAATGACAAGTCAGGACGGGGGGGGGGAAACAAAAGGCGATCGTGCTGCTAATCCAATCAGAATCGTTGTTGCGAGAAGGATGTGTAACACAGAAGCTTCAGAAACGACCCGATTTTTATCACAAATTGTTGATCGCTACCTTCACCTGCACTTCACATGCCTAGACTTGGGGCTACCGTGACGGTACACAAGTTTGTAGCGCCTTCACATACCAGCACTCCAGTTTTGAGACGTCTCAAAACTAGCGCCTTCACATACCAGCACTCCAGTTTTGAGACGTCTCAAAACTAGCGCCTTCACATACCAGCACTCCAGTTTTGAGACGTCTCAAAACTAGCGCCTTCACATACCAGCACTCCACAGGGAAGCTCACCTCAAACCTGACGTCACTGTGCTGATCCATGACTGGAGCCAGAACCTGAGCCACTGCTCTTGATACATGACCGATCGCTTCCCCCATCACCACCTGCTTCCCCATTGTCCCTGGTGTCATGGGTTGCCCTGACGTTCCTGCTTGACCCTTTGTTGATCGGCTCGCTGGTGATTGGTTCTCTGGAGTGCCTACTCTCCCCCCTCCTGTACCTTTTCCTCGCGAATTCAACCTCCCACTTCCCCTCTCTGCTCCTCGCGTTCCCTTAGCGCCAATGCTCTCTTTCCCCTTTCCGCTTGGACTCCCCTTTCCTCTCCCTCCTCCTCTTCCTGCAGTTTCCCACCATCTCGCTTTGCTCCTCTCTACAATCACATCCTCGCCTCTGCTGCTCTGGCTGCCTCCATTGGCCGATCCGTCGTCCGGTATAGTCACCACCTGATAGGAGAACGCGTACCCAGGAGATAGATTGAAGAGGATTACGTTTCGCCTGTACAGAACGAGAACAAATCCCTTGCTACAACATTTTTAAATTTCTGTCCTTTCAGTGTGACACTTTGGTCAGCCAGAGAAAGCATGCAACTGCATCTTCTTCAGACTTACATTGCTTGCAGCAACGCAAATGGTGTTCATACTCGGACCTATCCAATATATACTTCTGCTGGATTCATCCCAAAACCTTCTCCGAGCAATACATTACAGATTACATTCTAGAAAACTTTATCAATGTTCCTATCTGCACGTTTGATCGCGCTTTGCCTAGCAGTTCCGCTCCTATCCCCAAGAGACGGGGTTCCCAACCGTCGTTAGATTCTAACGTCACACTCCTGCTGACGGCACCCGTAGTCCTGACGTGACACTACCACTGACGTTACATTCCCTAAGGTCATTCAAAGTCCGGGGTAATCACTCACTTGAACGGCGTTTCCGTCTGCCAGGTTGGATCGCTCCCTCACTAATACCACTCGCATTCCCGCGTTGCACGGCACACGCGCATGGAACCGCCTTCCTACAACCCAGGTGGTGAGGCTCGGGTACTGCTCCATTCCAAGGCTGAAAACTTGCTTCGGTAAATTAGTGGTCTCTAGAATCGACCTTACTCTTCACTGTATGAATGGTTGAGGTGGAAGACTGGATATCACCAGCAATGTCGCATTCTGGAAATACTTCACCGCAACTCAACAGAACCAAGCAAGGTCCAAACATTCACGAGACCATGAGCGGTTTGTATACAATTATGTTCGGTTAAGTGAGGTCTCCAGGAAAATGACCACTTCTGAGGCCACTGAAAATGACATGCCCCGAAACACAGCAACCAGATCAGCACGCGAGAAAGGAGGAGGCGTCATGCTGACGACTGGCGTAGCGAGGCGGATGATTGGGAGGGAGAGTTGGGTTGGGGGAAGCGAGAGGAGGTGGCGGAGTGGGGTGGGGGAATGCGGTGCGGAACCGGGAGGACGGGAAAGTCGAGCGGAATACTGAGGCTCGCGGGGAGGGGAGGACACCGAGGTTGTCTGCGAAAGATGTAGCAGGCGGACTCGAGTAGTTCGGTTGTTGAGTTGCCTCGCTACATTGTTGAGGTATTTATTCGACTTACACAGACGATCCTGATCCAACACATTGTGTAGCAGCAATTTATTTAGTAAGAACACCAACTTGCACAAGTTTGGGGGACAATTCGTGGTTCCTTATAGCTACACCGTATTCCACAACAGTTTCACGACGTATTGCATTGACAAGTCTACTTCACGGCATATGGATTGATTTTCCCGTTGGGGTTAATCAGCGCTGCAGCAGCTGTTTCTGAAGAATCATGCACCTCCATCAACATCCAGTCCTCCACCTCTCCCTGCAAAACAGAACACAATAAAAGACATTAGGGCGAATTATAATGAAACAAGGCATGCAGCAGATAACACGGGTAGGCAACCAACCAACGGGTGACAATAAAAGTAACCCACGAATGCCCATGTGACACGTGGATCATGTGTACCTGTCCTCGCCGCAGCAGCACTGGACTGTCACCAGTCATATCCACCACTGTGGATGGCTCTGGCATGCGAGCACCCCCATCCACAATGAAATCCACGCCCTGCAACCAAATAAGGGAAGGGGATATTTTGAAAAAAGACGGAATTACTTGGTGACCCGCAGCTTAACTGACACGTACAGAACCGCAACTTGCAGGGACGTGAAGGGGGTAAGGCCAGAGATAGTTGCAAGTTCATACATAACAGTATAGGAGAATGAACAGAATCTGGACAAGCACGTCCTCATTTTAAGCTCACTCACCTCTGACCCATCTTCAGAACGGTAGGTGAGTCCAACCACTGAGGGGTCCAGCAACCAGCGTTCGTCTGAGCTCTTGGTGGCGCTGTGGATTTGAAAGGGGGAGAAGAGAGACGGGGGAGAAGACAGCAGTGAAGAACGGTAGGTGAGTCCGACCACTGAGGGGTCCAGCAACCAGCGTTCATCAGAGCTTTTGGTGGCGCTGTGGAATCCAAGGGAGAGAAGAGAGACGGATGAGACGAGAACGATGAAGACAGAGGTGAAGAGCCGTTGAGTCCGGCCGCTGAGGGGTCCGGCAACCAGCGTTCATCTGAGCTTTTAGTGGCGCTGTGGAACCCATGGGAGAGAAGAGGGTCCCGGGAGACAAGAGTGGTATGATGCTGAGACTAGAATCAAGAACCGGCTCATAAGTCGCTGACAGCCCTCCTGCGTGATGGACGGAGCAACCAGCAAAGTTTGGAACTCGCAACCAGCAAAATTTGAAACTCTTTGTGGCGGTGCGGAGTCAGGGGGGGAGAGGGAGGGACGGGGGGTGACGGAGAGGGGGGAGACGACGGAACAGAAAGTCACAGAAGGAAATCATTTTTGTGAGCATGCCAGCTGACCTGGTGCAGAGGAGATGGTCGTCCAGCAGCTCGAGAAGTGCATGGCAGACCGGGTCCAAAGGCATCCTCACCCCCACGCTCTTCCTCCGCACACAGTGCTCTTAGGTTTAGGTTTGAACATCTCTCGGATAGGTCATTGCTTTGGAGCATAGAATCTAACCTGGTGCAGAGGAGAGGGTCGTCCAGCAGCTCGAGCAGTGAGTGGCAAACAGGGTCGAGGGGCATCCTCACCCCCACGCTCTTCCTCGGCGCGCAGTGCGCCACCGCACTGCCGCCAAACGTGGTGCATTGTTTCGGCATGGCCTTGCTCGCCTTGAGAATGAAGGTGTACTGATGGAGGGAAGGCCGAGCGGATGCAGGAGAAAGGGACGGGAAAGGAGGAATGGAAGGGCTAGCGGAGACTGAGTGGGGTAAACTACTTCGGCATGGCCGTGCTCGCCTTGAGAATAAACGTGTACTGGAGGCAGGATGAGGGTTGGGGGAGATGGATGTGGGAGAGGGAGAGATGGTGGGTAAACATTGGTATATGAGAGTGGTGCACTGGCAGTGTTTTCACATGGCATGATGAACTTGGAGGAAGGGAATGGAAACAATCGATACCCAGGTACAACGTTGGCATACAACGTACAGGTCCAGGAAGGCATTGTCGGGCAGCCCGGAAAATGTTTGTCTGCCCATGGCCATTGCCGCGAGGAAAGCCCAACGTATAGGTGTCAATGTCTTGGAAGTTGCGGCAGAGGATACTCAGAGGCTGCAAGATAACGAGTGTGAAGGAAATTAGAGGGTAGAGTGGAGAACAAGGTCATCAGTTACAAAGAAATGTGTGGCTGCAGGGAAAGAAGAAGAAAAACACCAACTATACCTTTTTGGGGTCCAACTGCTTGATACTGCAAAGAGACGAGAAACAAGAAAACGATTTGCGCAGGAAATCAAGTTAGAATATGACCACATGAATTCATGCACGAGCTGTCACATAGTATCAGCCAAACAAAACGAGTGAGAAACAGGAGGATGGCTTCAACAACCGCATCATCAGACAGGACAACAAATCCTGACGCAAGAAATTCGTGCCTCATCGCGTATGGAACATTACGAGCTGAAATAGTCAAGGATGTGGGAGAACATGCAGAGGACATTGAGAGTTGGTTGATGCGTTGTAAGAGCCTATCAGTGAGTCAAGTGCGTACCGGTAGAGTCTGTCAATGGCATCTCGGTTCTTGACGTCACACACCAGGGCATATCTGCACGTATAGGTGGAAGCAACACGTTGCAAGGGTACACGAAGCGAAGGATTGGCGGTGTGAGGAAGGCAACTGGCTGCAATCCAGCCCAAACAGCACCGATTGGGTTCATCCTTTCAACTCATATCCAATGGGTTTCGTTCAACGGGATTCCGTGGCTCTTGCACGACCCCCCCCGCAACCTCCCCCACCAGTACCCCACCCGTCCTCGTATCTCTTTGTTTCACTCCGTCACACTAGGCCTCCACACTCACACAATCAACCCACACATTGCATGCTAACCCTGCCCACACCCCACCCCATCGCACACCACCACATTCCACCACACAGGCAGGATGATCGGCTCACACAGTGTCAGTCGGGATGAGCCCAACGGCGCCTTCCTTGATCAGATCTGCAATTCCCCGAAGCTTCCAGGAAGCATCGGATCCTGACGGGTCAACGGTCACCACATCCACGTCGTTGGCCTGACATCCGCACCCAGCGGAAAACAAGAACACATATACACGCTGTGTTAACACAAATAAAATAGGGGGTTCATCACACCAAGTACCACAATCTTCATAACCCTACATGGTCTACGTTGCGTCTTCCAGTGTAAACGAGCTCGCGTTACCAATGTTTCAGCATGCACAACTTTTGAGGTGACTTAACAGTTACACAATATAACTATCTTCTTCAGTCAGGCAAGCTGGTCGGCTTCCAACCTCTCGTACGGTCTCAACAGTTATTCGTTCTGTTCCTCCATGCTCCCCTGACCTCCCCTGACTCTTTCGCCAACCCCTTAACCAAGTGGCCTCATTCGCAGCTTTCGTGCATTCTGAGCGGGAAAATCGCACATACCTGGCGTGAGCCTCCCGCATATTTGAGTCGCTTCGGGTTCCTCTTCATACTCGCGGAGACGAGGACCGGTGTTGCTCTGGGCTTGTTAGAAGCAAGCGAGTTTACTCTTAACGGGGTAAGGCGAGAGCCGGCAAACTCCGACGAAGTAAAGGAACAGCGAGGAATCTTTGCGCAAGCGTGCATGACGGAGGAAGTGGCGAGCTCCGGAACGCGTGCACTGATAGCAGTTGCATCCATGGCGGCCACTGCTGGAATCAATCAATAAATGACTGAGTTTCAGAGAGTGTTGACCAAACTGCTGGTCAGATTAACTTAGGTGGATGGGCAATAGTCGCTGGCGCAAAGCAGGACAACCGGGACCAGGTAGAGCCAAGAATCCGTGCGTGACGGAGTCGACTATGTGAAACGCCGACTGGATTCTGAAAAATATAACTAGGCTTACCTGCTATCTGCCTCAGAGCCGTGGCTCACACAGGGAACTCTACACTGGCTCAGGGAATTCCGCAGCGGGATGAGGGATTCTGCTGGGACAGCTAGGGCCAGCAATCTTCACATGCCCACGATGATCCTCGGAATCGCACGCAATCTCGAGAATTTCGCATAGTTGCGGGAAACACAGCGCGCTGATTCTCGAAACGGACATCTGATCATGTCTGTCGTGGGTCCGAGCCTCTTTCAACAACGAACCTCTTTCGTAGCCACGTATTGTGGCTCGGATATGCCACGGAGGCGTGGAAGGATATTTCCAGCCTCGTGTTTCGTGGCAGCATCTTTGGTCTGGTCAAAGCGCTTTGGTCCAAACGAATTTCTCGGCTGGCAACGCCAGCTTTTCGCGTCATCGGATGACGTGTCTATGAAAGACTGGTGATATTTGCCGCAACATTTCAAGCTGTCGTCTGCCCACCTCGGCAGTTCTCGCTAAATCGCAGTTCTGTTGCGTTCAAAATATGAAACTAGAGCTAACCAGTGTACTTGTCATTCAACATAATTATTAGACTAGAGTTTGATCGTTCTCTGAGCATCCACCTTGCATTTACCACAAGACTATATACCCTTATGGTACCCACGGCCTTGTTAACTTGAAGCCAAGCCAGGTAGATACGTTACCAACATTTTTTTAGAAAAAAATGAACTATACAACCAACATTTCAAGAGTAACAGCACTCTGAAGCACAAGGAGCGCATCGGAGAACAAGCCTAAGAATCTCTCTGTATAAGGATGTCAGATGCTCTGACCTGGAGTATAGCTGTACCTAAAAGAAGGCCGCTTGAATGAAAGGAATATTCTAGTACCAGCCATGGCCTGTCACTCTTTGGGTCTTGATTCTTCTTTTCAAATTGACTTGAAAACGCCCTCCTCCCTAGGCAGCTGACTTGCATCAGCTAATTAGCCTCGGCTAAATTGCCTCGACTGAATTACTTCAGCTGGTTATTGTGCTGGACGACTCATCGTCAGCATCGAAGGGTAGCAAATGCCACGGCAAATGCTTCTCCTTGCTCCACACATCCCCTCCCAACCCCCTTCCCGCTGCTGCATCTACTCTTCCCCCCATTCCCAGTGAGACTGCTCCGGATGACATGGGGGTGGTTGAACCAGAAAGAGAAGCCAATCCCGAGGACCACCCAGCAGCTGCTGCAGCGGCAGCAGCATATGCATTGAGCCTGAAACTGGGCAGGAGGCTCGGGTGCAAGCTTCGGGCGTGTAACCAGGTAACCATATCGTCCAAGATTCTCGCAGTCACATCGTCGGGCTCTGCTGTTGTCAACCCATGCCAGCACTCCTCGTACAACCTAAAAGTCTTATCCCCGCTACAAGCCTGCTGGAAAAGCGCCTCGCTAACCGACGGATCTGTGACCGCATCCGCTGCACCGTGCATCAGGAGAAACGGCAGCGAAACCTTATCCAGGTCTCGGCCAATCCGCTGCGTCGCCTTCAGCATCTGTAGCGCCGTTTGTAGCCTCGGCTTCCCGCCATACCCCACCGGATTCTCACACAATTTCGCCCTCTTGACCGGATCCCGAAACCCAATCTCCGCAATTTCCCTGGTCGGGACCAGCTTCGCTCGAGGAAAGATACTCGCGAGGAAGGATAAGGTGGTGACGACGGGTTTCGGAGGCATCATCTCCGGCGCGATCTTGCACATGGGAGCGGCAAGGATTGCGCCCTGCCACGACGACGGCTGGCGGAGATGCGTGAGGAGCGCCACTGCTCCGCCCATGGACTCGCCGTAGAGAAAGAACGGGAGGTGCGCGAGGGACGGCCGAGCTGATAGAGGAGACGGGGAGTGGTGGAGAGAGGCAAAGCGAAGGGCAGATGCGATGTGAGCACAAACTTGAGCGCGGAGTGAAAGGGCAGGCGAGGTGAGCACCAATTGGGATATCACAATTTTGATAATTTTGCGTGCAGTTGAGGACACCGTTCTTCCTTTTTTTGAATTCTCTAATGTTCAGGTTTTTCACATTAAGATCACGCACCTCTCAGCGATGCAGTGAATTCCGTAACGTCATCCACGAGATTGTCGAATCGCGGAATAAACCCGTGCAATCCCGCAGACAGGCCAAACCCTTCGTAATCCAACGATTCCACCGCGTAACCGGACGCGGCCAGCCGTATCGCGACGTCCTCAAACGCGTATGCGCAGGTGTCGCCGTAGCCGTGGCAGTAGAAGACCACGCCGCGCAGACGACCGTCGACGGGAAGCCATTGCTTCGTAAAGAGCTCGACGCCTCGCGAGTTTATGAAGTAGTCCTCTGATGACGTCACGCCGTAGTATTCCTGCAAAGCGGAGAAGGGCGGCAAAAGCAACGAAAACGAGGAAAACGGCTGAATACCATTTCACCCAGAACGAAAGAATACAACGGTACGAAAATGGTCACGACCTAAGACTTTTTTTCCCTTCTTTTTTGGCAAAGGAGTTCGCGCAAAAATCGAGGGATGAATACTCCATGACTTTGCGAACTAGGAAGCGCAAGAGACCGACCCTTTGCAAGTCGCGAGCAAACAAGGCCAGACATCAATCTGCCTCGGCTCGCGTGCAGTCACCCGCAGTCTGTCTTCGCGACTGACGGACAAGAAATGGGAGGACGGCCCTAAAACGAGGAAGCGTAAAAAAAAAAAAAAAAAAAAAAAGCATCAGGAACGACAGAGCGAGAAAGGACGTCATTGTGTTCCTTGCACAAGCGCCAACGCGAACACCGACCGTGAAGAGAAGGATATAAAATGGCGAAAAGGCATGGCAAAGGCTGAATTACTCACGTAAAATTCCGGAGACCGCTTAAAAGGCTGCCTCGTTTTTCGCCGGCCGGTTTCCCACTCCAGCGAGAGATCGTTCTGGCGACTCGAGGACCGTCTGAGAAACGCTAGCGAGAACAGCAGGAGCGTTGCGAACACCACGAGGCAGAACATCCTGTCAAACTGGATTGGCAGAAGAACGGCAGCTACGGAGAGAGTTCCCGCTATTAACGAGTCTGCTGATAGCGTGTACGTCCCGCTACTCAGCGGCGAGTGCACGGAAGTGGCCGACATCGTGAAACCTTCTGAAGGGAAACTTTAGAGGAAAAATGAGGAGGATGCCAGGAGGCGACACGACGCTTACAGTGCTTCCAGTCCGTTCGCGCAAAAAAACAATCGCTAGCGCGCAGTCTCACGGAGTGAGTTGATGCTTTGCAGCGCTTTCACAAAAGTGCAAGGAAGCGATCCGAAGAGGATAGGGGTGAGAGATCAGCAAACACTACTTTGCGAGCTTTTTTGTTCTTGATGGGTTTCTAGTGACGAGGGCGTGCGAGGAAGATGATGTGGTGCCACGGCAACGAGCAGGCCAGATGATGAAGCAGCAACAGCAGCTCTAACGAGGGGCTTTATCAACACCGCTGAGCAACCCGAGCCGTGCGGAGAAAGGATGAGGTTGGGTGAGGGTGAGCATGGGGGAGGGAAGGGGGGAGAGCTAGAAAAGGGAGTGAGGAGGAAAAGTGAGTGATGGCAGCCGAACCAAATTTGGATGGTGTGGGTGGGGGGGGAGTGGGGAGAGACTTCGAAGAAAAGCAGCTAACACCAACCAAGCACCACCCAAGCACGGAAATTATTTCATTAGGCACTGCCAGGCAGGCACCCGAGCACGCAATGTTGAATGCTGCGTCAGACTCGGAGTCGCTATCGTGTCAAATGAAGGCGAATTGGCGAATGGGAACAAACGAAAGTGCCGCCATGCAAGAGGCGCGCCAGCTTGATTGGTTGGTGCTGTTGTTCTAAAAGTTTCGCCAGCAATAATTCTGCGTCGCCCTGCCTCTGGCATTGCGGGAAGGACTCCTGCGTTTGGATTGGCTGACGTCGTCTCGTTTATTCGCGAATTTTCGATTTGGACTAGCATGTGCCGTGCCGTTCTCTTTTTTGACAAAGACATGTCAAGATGAAACGGGTCACTCCTGACGAGTGAGAGAACGAAACGAGTCGTTTTGGCAAGCATCATAGCCCGCTTTCTGGCAGGGGATATTCGACCTTACCGTGTGGTGGGACTTAGGCGCAGGGTTACCCTCTCGTCGGTGACCGCCGCAAACCTAGCTGTTTGCTAGAAAGGCAGGTGCAGCGGGACGGAAAAGCACAGTGACTTACAGATACTCAAACTAGGTGGGCAGTCTTAATGGGTTTCCCGTCACGCAACGGTGTCTTCTAATTGGTTGATGGAGGAGCTAGTGACGGTGCTTGCTAGTTCTCAACAGTAAGCACGTGATTATGGAGGGGGCTCGTTTGACCGTTATCCGTTTCCACTCAAGCGTGTGACGCTGGTGTAGCCCGGACCATACTGAAATCCCCACCCCGCACTCTGCTTACTACTTACGAGACCCCACTTACGAAAACAAAATTTTAGAAGATCGAACAACTGAATATAGAAGTATGCTTTTGAAACTAGAGGCGTGGCTACCAATGAAAAATATATTTCCATGGCCACAGACACCCTAAACATGCAACTTTTGTACACTCGGGACGTGCAAAATAACTTCAAACCTACGTTGCCACTGCGCGCCGAAACGAGAGCACAACAACCTCGTGAAGAACGAAGAAGCTTCGGCTGACCAATCACACCACTTAGAGGATGCCTTCACACGCTCGGCTCACGCACGGCCATTTTTCCTTCAAGAAGCCGCGCGATTCGACTCGACGCTGTGAGAGTTGTTGGCGACACATGCTGCTGAACCGAAAGCACAGTGCTGTACTACAGTATCTCACCAACCTTGCGTGTAACGCGCTGACATGGCATAACAGATCGAGAATGAACTGCTGATTTTGAGGGATGAAACGTCGATTTGTAGGGAACGCACCGTCTGCCACACCCAGTCATCGAAGATCTCGAGCCGCTGTTTCATGGTACGTCCAAGAAATCAGGGATGTTGCAAGGAAGGAGTCAGCGAGCAACGGAATGAAACAACATGAGGATCACTTCCCTGTTATAGCGGCGTGAATGGTGGATCAATTTATGAAAACTAAGGTGACGAAGTGATGTACACCTTTTCCTTACTTCGCGCCCCTGCTCAGCGGCCCTGTTCGATAGGCTAACACTAACGCCCGCGGAATCATCGCGGCTGTTTCGACTTAGGGTTTTTTTCCACGGTCAGCCCGTAATTTGGTGTCACGGGGCTTTAACGCTCTGGATCCTGGATGGCTAGTGTAAGCCTGTCGAACGCTACTTTAACCCTTCAAAATCATCCCCCCCGAAAGCTCCAAGTCCCTTCTCACACGCACAGAGGTTAGCCTAGCTCAAGCCCAGCCCTCGCACCCCCAAAATGGGGGTTGGCCAAGGGATAGGCCAGGGTTCCATATGAGAGGGGATACCCACCCCATACCTCACGAAAGTTTTCCTAGCAAGGCCCATGCTCCAACCTCACCCATCTCTGCCCTTAAAAAATCCCCCTCCTCTTGACGCGTGAGGGATTTGTAGGTTTGTTTTTCACCCCTGATTTACCCAGGTTCAAGTGGGGAGCGGTGTAAAATTTCGGACCCTGCCCACGATGACGATGGTGGAAGGAGGGGGTGCAACATCGCTGAGACGACACCCTCCTTCCGATTTCGGGATGGGCTGCTTCCGATCTCGAGAGGGGGGGGTTAGCCCTTCAAAAATTTCTCCGAACCCTCCTCCAAACGCTAGCCTAACGCTAGCCCTGCAAGGAGGTGGCTGCCTATCGAACAGGGCCAGCGCGTACACCACTGTAGCACCACAGTCAGCACCGTTACCACTCGCAACCCTCGCATCGACAATCCTCCCGCCACCATCGCACGGCGCATTCCGACCTCACGGCTCGGCGGGTAACCCGCGCTCCGGGCCTCCGCCTCGACATTTTCCCAAACATCGGTTCCAGGCCCGTCGCGCATCACCCACAGTTCATTACCGTTACCACTGTAGTTTCGCTATATATTCTTCGCTCATGCCTTGATGTTGGACACGGTGAAAGCCTGGCACCCCCCGACGAATATCACGGAACTGCAGAGCTTTTTGGGGTTCGTCAGTTACGTGCGTCAATTCGTCCCCGACATGGCACGGTTAACAGCGCCGCTGACGGACTTGTTACGGAAGGGGGTCGCTTTTACGTGGGGGGAGAAAGAGCATGCTGCCTTCTCTGCCCTGAAAAATGTTCTCTGTTCACCGCCCGTACTGCGCATCGCCGACCCACACCACCCATTCGAACTAGTTACAGACGCAAGCGACATCGCCATCGGAGCCGTACTGCTACAGGACTTCGGCAACGGCCTACATCCCATCGCATACGTCACGAAAACTGCATCCGCCCAAGAAAAATTACCCGATACACGACCGCGAAATGCTTGCGATCGTGCATGCGTTCAAAGTGTGGCGCTGTTACTTGACCGTACGGACAGACCATAAATCACTACAGTACCTCCACGCACAGCCACACCTCAACCCACGACAGATTCGCTGGCTCGATTTCCTCGAGTCAAACTTCCACTACACAGTCACCTACAAAAAGGGGGCATCCAACATCGCCGACGCACTGACCCGCCCCACTGCCCAGATCCACGCAATACTACTTGCCCAGACCAGTCCACTACTGATAGGCCTATTCACCCACGGGTACCAAACGGATCCATTCTTCACCGGAGGAAATTCGCAGCAGTTCGCAGCAACAAAGGGAGTCTATTACGTAAAAGCCGGGACCGACCGCATCTGGGTACCAGGGTACATACTGCTACGGGAATTATTGTTTCAGGAGGCACACGACGGAGTTACCTCAGGGCATTTCGGGGTAGAGAAAACACGGCAGCAGCTACAGCGGTATTATTACTGTCCCGAAATTTTGACTGACGTACAGCGACACGTGGCATCGTGTCCCACTTGCCAACTCATGAAATCATCACGGAAGCGGCCGGCAGGACAGTTGCAGCCGATACCACCCCCAGAGCGTGCTTCGCAGCAGGTGACGATGGATTTCGTCACGGGGTTACCGGCCGGGGCGAGTGGGAACGACGCGATCCTGGTCGTCGTCGATCGACTGACGAAAATGGCACACTTCGCAGCCTGCAAAAAATCAATCACAGCCGAAGAAACAGCACGCCTCTTCATCGCCACCGTCGTTCGACTGCACAGGATACCAGCAGCAATCATCAGCGACCGAGACACGAAATTCACTAGCAACTTCTGGCGGAACCTGTGGCAGCAGTTCGGCACGCGACTACAGTTCAGTTCTTCGTACCACCCCGAGACCGACGGACAGACAGAGAGGACAAATCAGACCATGGAACAACTCATTCGAGCCACGTGCGATGACCCAACCACCTCGGAACAGCAACTGCCACTCATTGAGTTCGCGTACAATAACTCACCTTCTGCCACGACCCAACAGTCACCGTTTTACCTGAACTACGGACAAGACCCGACTGTACCCATGACCCCGAATCCCGACAACCCGGTGCCATGGGCACAACAGTTGGCCGAAGTTTTACAAGCAGCACGGATCCGGGCAGCAGACACAATTAAAAAGTCGAACATAATCGCTAAACGCAAGTCCAACCGCCACCGCCGACCTGTCACTTACCAGCCCGACGACCTAGTTTTACTGGACACCCAGAACCTCCGCCTGCCCATCACCCCAAAACTTCGCCCCCGATACTGAGGACCATTCCGCATCAGCCACATGATTACACCCGTCACCGCCCATCTCCTCCTCCCCGCTGACTGGTACGTCAGCCCATCCTTCCACGTCAGCCTGCTTCGCCCCTACGTACCATCCACAAGCCAACTGCCACGCAATCGCCCCGCCAGCATGACACGACCACCGATCGAGCCTATCATAACGCCCGAGAAGATTCTGAGCCACCAAGTTCGTGACCCACGAGGAGCCAGAAGGATCGAAGCCCTAATCCGCTGGAGATAACTGGGTTCGAAGACAACTGGGTTC